AGACTGCATTTAGTGCTCTCAGTGTCTGCTTTGGCCTGGTAGCTGCTTTTTCTCTGTGATCATGTCGTTTGGTCCCAAGTAATAGGTGCAGGACCTTGTCTGGTTTAATCCTGCTTCTCCATGCAAGTACACCTGTAGTTTTTAGGAACACCAGGATGTGCCTGCCAGGCTTCCTCACAAAGAGAGGAAGGGGGACAGCAGCCACCTTAACCGACCGCTCAGGCCTGATCCAACCCCAAGCAGGCCCAGCCTCTGCAGGGCCTGCAGCAGGACTTCCAGGGCCTCTTGCAAATCCAGACTGTGCTGTAACAAAGGGCGTATGTTCAGAGGCTAAACCAACACTGTAGAGTCAACCTTGGTATTTGCTTTTATTAACTTTCCTGCCCTTATCATTGTGTCATCTGAATACCTTTGTTTGCAGTAGCTCGGCTGCCCCCCAGTGTAGCAGCCCTATTTAAATTTGGTTTGAGATTATAATTGTGCAGTGTTTTGCTAAGGGCAGGCTTAAATAGCAGACTGCTCAGCCCCCTGTTAGGGAGATATTTCAGTCCTAAATAAAATAACCCTGCCTAACATTGAAACACTTCTCATTCCTAACAGAAACAATAGAAAACTCACAGGGAGCTTATCAGGAGGCATTTGATATCAGCAAGAAGGAGATGCAGCCAACGCATCCAATTCGCTTGGGTCTAGCTCTTAACTTCTCTGTATTTTACTATGAGATTCTCAACAACCCGGAGCTTGCCTGCACACTGGCAAAGACAGTAAGTTATGTTTTCTTCTATACGTCTGTAGGGACATTAGAAGAGTTTTTACTTTTATCTGATTATTTTCCAAAGTTTGTACAGGAATATTGTACTTCATGTATTTGTCTTCCAAGTTCCCAGTGTAAATAGGGGACGCAAGTAGGCTGTATTTACAGTGTGGCTTAAATTCTCAGCAACTCTTTCTTTTGAATAGAGCAGTTTAGTCATTGACTTCTTATATTGCTGTTTTGTTTTGCTTAAAGCTGCCTATACAGCTAATGCTAACTCCTGTTGCTTAATGATTGCTTGATAGACTAAAGGTGGCTTAATTATTTTAGGCATTTGATGAGGCTATCGCAGAACTTGATACACTGAACGAAGACTCATACAAAGACAGTACTCTCATCATGCAGTTGCTTAGAGACAACTTAACAGTAAGTTGGTTTCTTTATTTATGTTATTTAGCTGCATGTCTGTAACGACCAAATTTGTGATGAAATGAAACACATTATTTCACTCTAACACAAAAGGTAGTGTGGATTAGGGCTGCTTGCCCTGCTGTGACTTTGGCGGGGGGGAAGTTTAATATTTTCATGACTGAGTTTGAACGTGGTCTTCAGCAACTTCAAGCTGTGTAATCTAGAATAACATCTTGGGTAGTTAATATTCGGTCTTACTTGCTGGCCTTAAAGTAAAGCTGGAGAAGGTGCATTCAGTTAATCTTACATGCAAGGGAAGGCAAGGAGCTTGCAAATAGTAGCCCATATTCTGTCAGGAATCCCAACTAAAATGTTGTTTATTTCATCAAAGACAAAGTATCTTTGTTTATCCAGTGCAACTCGCTTTCCTTTGGGAATAAAAGCACAAGCACACGCATGTGCGCATGGAGTTTCAATGCATTATAGTTGCAGTTAGATACAATGAGCTGCCATGTGAGTGTGTATCACAACAATTAATTGTTTTGAAAGAAGGGTCTAATGGGACTACTAATTCTATTTGCACGGAATATCTCAAATATGAATATTCCTTGCATTTAATTAGAACAGTATTCTTGATTTTGCATACCTCTTTAGTACACATGCCTTTATTAACGCTATAGCTTAAATAACCAAGGTGGTAATCTTTACTCTTAGGATCCAGACCTTTGCTTTTAAGATTCCTGTTATTCATGAAGCTGTCAGGCTTGTTGAATGATTGTTTATCAGTGAAATAGCTGACTATTAAGCACAGAAGTCTGGACTTGTGTAAAACCTGCCTGCTGTGCCCATAGGCGTGAGGAAGTATTTCTAGCTGCAAGCACCAGGGTGGGACAGCTCCAGGGCACCAGTGGTTTTTATTGCTCCATGCATCTACTTTACAATCAGTAGCCTTCCCTCTTAGGAAGCAAAGAAGCACTTGTCAATGTTGACACTGTTTTTCTTTTCTTTCTAGTTATGGACATCAGACAGTGCAGGAGAAGAATGTGATGCTGCAGAAGGTGCAGAAAACTAAACTGCACACAGGGTGTCATTCTCCCTTTCCTTCTCAAGAAACCTTTTTACACGTCTCCATTCCTTATAGCTCCACTTGGATTTCCTATAGCAAAGAAAACCCATCTATGTGTACGGAAATCAATTTATAGTCTTTTCACACTGCAGCTTTGGGAAAACTCCATTCCTTGATTTGTGTTTGTCCTGGCCTTCCTGGTGTGCGGTTACTGCTGTAGAAAAGTATTAATAGCTTCATTTCATATAAACATAAGTAACTTCCAAACACTTATGTAGCGGACTAAAGTGTACCTGGTATTTAAAAACAAATCTGAACCAGTTCCTGCCAGTTGACTGTGTTTGTATTACAGTAAAGATATGAAAATGTAGTTACTTGCAACTAAAGAGTGTTCCACATAGCTTTTAATTCTCCACATTCCCTCCTTCCTCTGCAGGGTTTCCTTTCCATTATTGACTTTCACATGATACTGTGTATTCTTTTCAGTAGGGATATGGAAGTATTGGGCCAGATAAAGTTTAGCATTTCTAGTTTGAAAATTTACGAATTGAGTTGCGTCCTGTATGGCGTAATACAGGAGCTTGTGTGTTTGAAAACAGGGGCTACTCCTACTCTTCAGTTGCTGCTGTTTAAGTTGATATCCCTTCCCAATAAAAGTTCACTTACACTCCTGCCTTTGTAGTTCTGGTATTCACTTTACTATGTATTAGAAGCAGCATGTTACTGCCGGGGTACAGGCAGTGCTTTTTGGCAGACTAAAGTGCATGTCATTCCTTAATACACTGGAATGGGAAAACCAATTGAAGTTCACATGTCCAAGTATAAAATTTAGTACTTTTCCATGCAGGTTTGTGCACATGTGAGAAGGTGTCAAGTTTGTCCAGTGATTGTTATTTAGAGAGTTTGGACCACTATTGTGTGTTGCTAATCATTGATTGTAGTCCCAAAAAAGCCTTGTGAAAATGTTATGCCCTCTGTAACAGCAAAGTAACATCAAATAAAATTACATTTTATAAACCACTTACTGTTGACTTGTAACAATTCCATGCAGTTGTTCAGGGGCTAAACTTAATCTTGTGCTAGAAGTGTCTTGCTCAAATTTAATGCACGCTTTAAAGTCTGCTCTTAAATGAACTCAATTTGCATTAAGTAATGTGCAAATATCATGGATAACTTTGTAGTGTAACCTGACATGTGGACTTCTCAGTAACTAAATTTACTTGAGCTAGTACCTTCCTCTTACTAACAAGCTAAGAAAAAATAGCTAATTTCTCCACAGCTTGCAAATCTTCCCAACCTAAATTATGCATTTTATGTAATATTGTGAAAGTCTCTGATCTACTCACGTGTATTTTTTCACCAATGGGCATCATTTTTTT